AAACTAAACAGCTAGAAGGGTCCCTCTCATCCACGGTTGCACTAATAATAGTGCTGATCATTATTTTCTCTTTGATAATGACATCCTTAGTGACCTATTGTTTCCACAAGTGGCAACTGAGGGGTAAAAAACTGCAGAAAGCGCAAGAGGAATATCAGCGAGACCATGAAAAGAGCATGTTCCAAAGCATGTCAGGACTTGTTTCATAAAAGAAATCAATCCAACATGAAATATTCCTGCATTACCTGAACGTGAAAAATAACTAACTATTGGAAGCTACATATTGAAATATCCACCTAAATATATCCTGGTTTTACCTAATTTGTAAGAATTTTTAATAGTTTGGAAATTTCCAACAGCTTCCTTATAAGTCAAAAATATTCAGTTGTCTCATTTGTGCAAAGTAAAATAAATGCAACCATGTATTTTAATCTGCATTTTATTTACAAAAAAGACAGTAGGTCAAACCCTGCTGTCCTTACTCTATCAAAATTCCCATGGAAGTCAAAGGGCCAGAGTCTCAGCTCGTATCAATCAGCATAGCTGATAGGAGTTGATCATTAGCAGATGATCTGGCTCGAAATTTGATAAGCTAATGAGAGCTTTATCTGAGTAAGGTCCACAGGATTTTCCCAATTACCACCCAATCCTGAAAGCCTTCTGGGGCAGAACTCCCACAGACTTCAAGAAGAGTTCCATGCACAGATTGAGCCCTATGTTTGCTAGCAGACTGTATCTTGATAATAATTCCATTTATTTTGTTTAGGGTCCATGGGAATTGAGGGCACTCAGCACCTCACATGATGGTCCCAGACTTATTAAGGAGCATGCAAGCTGAACACACTTTTTTAAAGCTTGCCATTATTTTTAACCAGGCTTACAATGGCGTGTTTCTATTTTTGTAGCCTGTAATGTTATGTCATGCAAAAGATGCCGACTCTATTGTGGGTAACATATGTAAGTAATATTTTCTAACAAAGTGTTGGATGTAACATCAGTATAAGTAGCTGTTTTAAAATGTAGAAAATATGTAAAAAATGCAAACAAAAACCCTGCTCAAGTATATAGCTTGCTTGCAATTACCATTAGCTGGTGCTGTATGTATTTTTAAACAAGCTATAATACTGTGATAATGCTGTACACTTGCTTCTGTAGGCAAAAAAGTTCAATTTAAAAACTGGCAAGAAGATTAAAGATGTAAATGTTCTTAACAGTGCTAACAACAAAAATATGGATTTTCATAGGATATTCGAAAGGCAGACTCTGTTACATGCTATGGATCTATTTTACAATGTATTTATGGATCATACACACTATTCATTGTGAGAACAAACAGTACTATTTTATTAATAAATAAATAAATAAATAAGCAAGCAGTGAATGCCCATGTCCAGAAGGTGGATAATGCTTTCATAGGGCCCCCTGATCTATTTTATTAGCAACTTGAAAGGCATGTTCTGAAAAGAACAAGGTACCCACTACCTTATTTGGGGAAAGGGCAAAGTGGCATTCCCCCCACCACCCCTCATAACTTATCAATCCCATTTTCATGTCTGTGTAGGTAAAGACCTATAGTATATCAACTATGTGAGAGAAAGGGACAGTACACTGGGGAGGACAAAAATGCAAACCTAATCCATACATTATTGATATATACATTTGTGAAAATAAAAAACTCTGAAACATTTTAAATTTTTAACAAAGTGCCACTTACTATAACATCTATACTGTATGCAGCAGCAATTTGCGCAAGTTTGTGTGTCCAGCTACATTTTTATTCAGTGGAGACAATAAAAGGTAATTTCTTTGTTATACCAGATAATATTTAAGTTGTAACTTGAAGACACGGGGCACATTATTATTTTAAAAACTATACATATTAGAACAACTTTCACACTCGATACCAGGGTTATCTGGGTTAACTGCACTGAAATCAGTAGAGTTAGTCCAGATTTGCAGCGGCGTAGAAGCTGGGCACTATGTCCATACGATGATTCATTCCCACAGGAGGGCACTCTTCTTTAAAGCAGTAAACCTTTCACTTCATTGCCACCAGTTCAACGCTCCTGACAAACTTTCTATTTGAATGAATGGGATCGGACTGGCTTCATCGGCTCTGATGACATTGGCTACAGTGAAAGGTGTCTCAAGGAAGGAAAGGTGAATTTGTATAATCTTGGCACCAATGAAGCTACGTAGATTGTTGATCAGGGATGAGTTTCTGACAAGGCAGGGGGCACTAGAGAGCTTGTGGCACTTCTAAACTTCTCTCCCAGTGAGTGTGGCTTGCACACAATGAAGAAATTTAAAACTGCTATAAGGCTTACTGGTGAAGAAACTAGCCAAGCAGCAGAGAGCACAAGGGATCGGAAATGGGATATACAGTTTTTCACCTCTGCCCTTGTTTAAATCCAGCCCAGGTCAGTAGCAATTGAACATCATTACCATCTTAAGGTATTGCAGTGGCCTATGGGGAATGAAATGGACATTTTGGCCTATTTTCTAGTGGCAAGCATCCATATCATAGAGTCCACTCCTATAACTGGTGCTCAGAAAAGAGGCTAAGGAATGAATGGGCTTGGAGTTAACTTCATCCCCCTCAGAGTTGACCTCTTCAGGGAGAGGTGGGGCAGTTCAGGGGAAGATTGCACTGCCATAGTAGCCAATGCTGTATCAGTCTGGTGCTAGTTTCAGGATAATAATCTTTCAGGTTGTCAATTCAGCAACATTTATGGTCAGGTTAGCAAGAAATAAAGTGCAGCCTCACAAAAACCATTACTAATGAATATGTAAAATAAATCAGTGTATGTAACAAAAACAAATTACTTCTGCATTTGCAAGATGTTCATAGCAATAAACTCTAGTACTTCACAAATCATTCAGAGGATTAAAAAAGGGTAAGAGTGTGCAGTATGAAAACCAAAAAAGAAAAACTCTAAATGACACTTAACAATGGATGGACTAATTTGTTTCAGTGCCACATCTGCTTCTTGTATGACTCACCCCGCATCAGTCTTGCTCCTTTTATACCCCAATGAGCACAGACAAGGAAACCAGATGAATACATTTTTCTTGATCACAGTTTTAAAGATGTTTCTGCAGATCAAAACAAAAATCTCTCTCAAAAAAATAAATGGCTCCTGGGGAGTGTAAAAGGAAGAGCACTGATCTAGGTGCCTTTCTGTGGTCTCCATGTCAAAATTCTTTGGTTACTAGTCTCAGTCCCTGCAGGAGTATGAAATAAGTAATTTACAGGGCAAGCTCTCTCATTTGCTTCATACTGTACATCAGCAATAGCTGCAACCAGGTAACAGAAAATAAGTGTTCAGATCCCAGAGTTACTGTTGATAAAATATGAAAGAGAAGAACTCCAAAACTGTTCTGAGCCTGCAGTACTGAGCAGCAGAAAAAGATACACATCACAGACCATACGGGTGCTGAATTTTTAAATGAATTTTCTGAACTGCCTCTCTAAATTGGGTGTGAATGGTGCACTGCGGGAAAATAAAATTGGTAAGTGCCTGATTGAAAGAACTTATAATTCAGTGTATTTACACAAACAGTTGAGAACTAAGAGCTAAAAAGAAATACTTCAAGATTTCCAGTGACAAGCTGGACAGCAAAAGCAAAGTTCAAATGCACTGTTGTGTCCTATCAACATGTATTTAGAACCCTGTATTTAATATTCCCTGTTTTTAGTAGTGAAACAAAGCTACACAGATGTATTATTTTGCACTGTGTTATGCAAGGGTAAATTTTCAGAGGGTCTTAGGCATGGCCTCCCTTTTTGTGTGTGCACTTTGCTACCACTGCTCCATAACAGAGCCCTTATGAGCCCTTATGTTGAGTAACGGGGGAACTTTTGCTAGTGGAGTTCAAAAAAGGTCGACAAAGAATTAGGCAGAGTTTGGGAAGGGAGGGGAAGTGGAGTCACAAGACAAATATGGGGCAGAGATGGAATGTCTAATGTGAACAGGGTTATAAAAGTGGAAAATAGGAGACTTATGGGGGATTTTAAGATACCTAAGGATGGTGCATTAACAAAAAAAATCCAGTGGCATCTTGCTCACCATATAAGATAGCTATATAAGTTGCAGTCGTGATCTAAAACTGAAAGTGATGCTAATGGGAGTTCTTAGGATGGGCTACTATGCCCAGAGGGTTGCTAGAAGGTGGAATAAGCTGCCAGTGAAAGAATGAGAACAGCTAGTACTAAAGAATTTAAGACTGCTCTAGAGATTCACTGAAGGCCTAACCTACTCAGGCAAAACTAATGAAATCATTCATGGAGGTTATTCATACCACAAGATCAAGGATAATCTAAGTGAACCTCTAATTCCCGCCATCCTAATTTATTTTCATGCTTTATATTGATTTGTGCATCGTGAAACCATGTGGCTAAACACACAACCCTGGGTACACTGATCTGATAGCTACAGTACATAGTATATGTAACAACTGCATACCTGTAGTTTGTTTAAACAGAACATCAAATCAACCCCATCAATAGATTTTCTTTTACCAAAAGGGAAAAAAATGCAACACCAAAGTACCATTCTAATGTCTTAACAAGCCACTGAACTATTAGGCAGTGATCTCCTTCATATACACATTTGATAGACAAATGTCTTCCCAGATCCTCAATTGCTGTGGAAGGCCCAAATGCGCTGAAAACATGGAGGTTGCAGAGGCCAGCGGGTCTGCAACTCATGTGGATCCATTGGCTACACATCCCCGGTGACGGATGATGGAACACGCTACAGCTGTCAGTAGAAGCCATGATGGTGACCATAGTAGTGGTCATAGTTCTGCTGCCCACATGCCTTGCTTGGAGTGAGCAGAAGGATTTCATTGCTTCCTGCCTCCAGAGATCTCCTGTGCAAAGCCCCTTTCCTTGGACTTCCTATTAGTATCAGACTTTCACCCAGAGATAATCTCAATGAGATAGTGACATTCCTTTTCAGGAATCGATAGAAAGTGATAGCAAATGCATCAGCAAGTTCAGAAAACAGTCAAAATATTATCTTAATTGACATTTTATTCCAGTTTTATTCTGTATTTTGTTTTCTTTCTCTTTCTAAACATCCACCCCAGACAGGTTCTATGATTAATTTAATGCCATTTCTTGTCCTATTGGCATCCTCAGGGTTACTGATTTATTTCAGTTCATATTCTCATTATTTCAGTTCTATAAATGCCCAGTTTCATTTTATTCCTTTTACAGTTACTCTGCAACCTTCTCTTTCTCTCCTCCACCTGGGGCTCTAGCTTTCAATTTAACAGGAGGCAGAAGGTAAAGATTGAGCTGAAGCCCAATAATTACACCTCCCCACCCAGAAAAACAGAACCATCTATTTTTTGTACAGATGTAAGAAGCAGTGAGCTGCTCTGAAATCCCATAAGCAAACCCACAAAAACAATAGTTATTGCTTGTCAGAATAATAATAAAAAAATGTCAGCTTCCATAATTTGAAAAATGTATTTGGTTGGATTACACTGTATTGCAGCTTTTGCATTCGGGAAGGACACAGAGCAGGACTGTCAGCTGGAATCCTGTGCTCTGGGAATATCTGGTTCTACCTGCAGGAATATTTGCCCACTGATCAGTTTGTCACTAACAAAACAGTTCTCATTAGTAGGCATTAGGCACATGAGTGTCACCAGAAGATTTTTGCCAGCTCTTACATTCTTTGATTAATGCTCATCATAATCAGGCTCTACACTTTCTGACCTTTCTCATTCAGTCTTTGCCATATACTCCTTGGATCCTCTGAAAGCTTGGGGAGGTTTTTGTGTATTTCTCCTAGGAGTGTGAGCGAGTCCTGAAATAAAAGAAAACTGCAGTGAGGCATTTTATTTTGGACTCCTACCATCTGTCACATACTATAACGATACAGGCCATCTTAAGGGCCAAATTATCCCTTGTGCAGAGCTACCCATAGAAGGGCCAGCAAATTTAATGAGTTACAGCTCACAATATCCTGCAGAACATTGCATCAGAGAACGAGGATTCTCCCCACATCAGACTGAGCAGGATGTGAGAGCCAGCAAACCAGAGAAATCCCAGGGATCTCAGGACATCTGAGATCTGAGATGGGCAGGGGCAGGGGCAAAGAGGCTCACTGCCTTTATTCAGTTCCCTAGGTGCACACCCATGCTGTCAGGGCCTACAGCAACCCACTCCAGAAGGCTTTCCTAGCATGAAAGTAGGAATCCATGGGACAGAATGCTAATCGGGTCAACATTATCTTCCAAGAGGAAATCCCTTTTGAACTGTCGATGCTGCTGCAGACCAGCCATCTCCCCAGGCATAATACAGAAACAAAGAGTCTGAATAGCAGAATATGGGGTTGGAAGGGCTTCTGTAACACTGACAGATAGAAAGAGTATGTTGCAGAGCCACTCTTCCTCCTCTTTCCCTGAGACTATGGCCAGTTTTCACTAGGTCTAACTCCCCTCCGTTGCATCAGGTACTCATGAACCTTGATGATGAGCATGGTGTAAATACTTAGATAGGTTAGAATGAAGAGTAGTGGGAAAACTAGCAACAACAAAACTCGCTTCAGGTACAAAACAGGGTGATTTGAGAATCCATAAGATAAGAGATGAAGTGTGCATGCCAAGCAGGAGAATATTGTAAATGAAAAACCTCTGCATTCCAAATCTATAATTCACAAGGTGGCTGCCATCTTGAGCTCATTGAAGCTGTAAGGAAAAATAGACAAGGTTTCTATCTGAAACCCTATGAGAACACTTCTTATTTTGATGAAATTCAAATGGCAGCACCATAATACAGTCATGGTTAAGAAAGAGCAGTAGGAACAGCCTCCGCGACAGTAAAACTGCCCCTGCATCCATGCAATGCGGCAGTCACCTTGCACCCCATTCCTTGAAAAGAGAGAAAATGGGATGGAAGCCTGTGTGGATGTAACCAGCAAGCATCATATAACAATGATATAATTTACTTTGTTCCTGGCTAGCCAATCAGAAAACAGATCATGGGAAAGCAATCAAGACACGCCCAATATAAAAAACCTCTGGAAAATGGTGAGCCAGATTTTCAGCTGATGTAAATCAGAGTAGCTCCATAGATATGATCAGCACAAGGTGAGGATCTAGCCCCATGCAGGTTAGTAACGACATGGGGCCAGATTCCATCCCAACTCACATTGCATGCAGGTCTATGCGACTGCATGGTCATAAATCAGGATGCAATTTGGCTCATGGATTCCTCAACTGCAAGTGTGTACAAAATGCACCGGAGTGTTTGTTTTAATAACATTTGCTTACTTTGACATAAATCTGTTCTTCTAATTTATCTTGGAGTAAAGCTTTCTCCACTAAAGTCTTCTTTTGTCTGAGAAAGGTAATCTTGGCCAGTTCTGTCCATTTTTTCTTACAATCATGGCATTGTGAAGGCTGGTGTAGTTTAGTTTCTTTCACCTGTAAAATGAGAAGTTGAAAAAATGAACGAGTAACATATATCTTAGCAAGGTGATCGCGTCTATTAAAAAATAACAAATAAAAAATATAGATATATATATAGCTTTTGAAGAGAAAGATTTGCTCTTCTAGGGAGCCATAAATTACTTCATAATCTTTTTCACAATATCATCTTGATGAGCCGGTCTGAATGACTTTTACACTAAACTACATTTGCTTTCCCCCATGTGCTACCCTTTCTAGCAGCAGTAACTTTGTTTCATTTAAGGTTAATCTGATTTTTTTCAGCCATCATATCACTGACTGGTAATACAACAGATTTTTCTTGTAGCAGGCTAACTGAAACCTACATGCCATCTTTTAAAAGACAATAAATATCTTCACAACTTTTAAGAAGAAAAAGAACCCTAAAGCGATATTGGTTCAAATATGTACATACAGTTCTGAATTAAAACCAAAGTAAAATTGAACAAGCAGTTTCCTTCAAGTGTTGAATAACAATATTTATTAAAGTGTGTTAGCCTATTTACCACAAAATCTTGAGTGTGCTTAAAGGCTTTATACAAATCTCAGGATATATATCTATATAGGATTTGAGTCTGATCTCACTTACACAGATGTAAATCAGGACTAACTCCATGGAATTACACCAGAGTAAAACCAATGTAAGCGAAAGAAGAATCAGGCTTACAGACTGTAACAAATTTATTAGTAGCTGTTTTTTATTACATTTTAGTGTAGTGAAAGGAGGTAAGTAGCTGTAATTTCAAAACTGTTAAAAAATGAAGCTCTCGATATCCCAGAACTGACTTTCAAAAACACCAAAAAGAAAGAAACAAGTAAAAAAAACCAACCCCACTATTCTCTGTTCACTTGGCACAGGGTTAGCTGATGAATGGTTTAACAATTACTTTTACATGCTGTATGGCAGTAAATTAAAGCAAATGTATGTGGTAGTAACTGAAGCAAAATACATGACTGCAATTATTATTCACCACTCATTTTTTGGTTCTATCAAAATTATTCTCCGATGCAGACATGCTGTACCCATTTCAAAATGAGGCACAGACACTTTCCAACACCAAGATTTATGGGTAAAGGCATCTGTAGGTGATGACTGTCACAGTAACATATTCAAACCCCCTTACAAATACAAAGTTAGAATTCAAGGATCATTGGAGAATAAACAACAGTTTTGTGATTCCTGACACACACACAGTGGAAAGAGGCGTTGTTTGTCTCAGTCTGCCTGTCCTATGGGAAAGGAGCAGAAAAGAAAAGCCCTTCCAACTGTTAAAATGACACATGCACATCTTACCAAACTCACTGATGCAACCCAGATTCTATCAGGCACATGTTATTCTTTAGGCAAGTGTTAAAAATTAAAGGTTGGCCAAAAAAAAAAAAAGATCAGGTATTTAGGAATGTTTCTATTAAAATATGCCTAAACACTTCTTGTTTTTCGTGCAAAAGAGTGACAAATAAAAGCCAACAATTTTCCATGTAACCTTACCTCTTAAAAGGTATTTTGCTAATGTGTCATTCGCAGTGACGGGCTAAAGTCATACCTATGTGTTAATATATTTTACCTTTGTCTCCGTGGATATTATCTTTTTTATCTAGGAACGCTGATGTCAGTTTTCCAATCAAAAGCTAAACTATGCCACAGGCCAGATACATCCATGGCCAAGTGACCCTAAGGTGAAGATCTATCCAGCAATATTTACCCTTCTGAAAAAACACTCCCCTACTGCCCACATTCATATATTCCCTAGAGAAGCATGACCTCAGGAGAGACCAGGGACTGCAACTGGGGCAGAGAAGAGGCATAAGGGGTGACCTTTTTTGTGCCCTCCCTTCTTGCAACCAGGAAACATCTGGCCCAGAATGTATTATATATTTACACATATTTCTGTTTTTGTGCTGGTGTCCTGATAGCCACTCCTAATTCCGGACTACAATAAAGAGTTTATACAAAAGGGGAGAGGAAGGGCTCTCATATTTTACTCTCCCAGACTGCCCTGGAGGCTTCAGTCATCCACCACTTCTTTTGACTGCAATCCTGTCAACCCTCTGTGGCTGAAGTAGCAAGACAGCTTCTGACCTCTTTTGAGCAGAGCCAATGCCACTTTGTACATTAACCAACGGGGGCACTGTTATAGTAGGGATGCCAAACCTCCTGGACAGTGAGCACGTTTCTCTGATGCTGCCCCCAGACTCCACAAGTAACTTCCAGAACAGTTCTGTACACAAAAGGGCAAGGGCAGCCTGACAAGCATCACTTACTACTCTACTCCCCAGTTAACCTAACGGTCATAGAGGTTGACAATAACTATCCACCCCTGCCTCTGTGAATTACTCATATCGTCTATAATGTCGCAATGAAAAATCAGAATTTTGTCAGTAGGCAACATTTTATATAATTTTGCTATTTATTAAAAGCATTTCTGCAGCATGGTCTTTAATGAGAAAATCAGAAACACAAATCCTGCAGTCCGCACTAAGGCAAAACTCACAATGAAGTCAATGGGAGTTTTGCATGAGTAAGGACAGCAGAATTTGGCCCGTATAGTTTCAATTTTTCTTTAGGAGCCCTCCAAAACCAACCAACCAACCAACAAACAAACAGGCATGATTTATGTTTTGGTTACAGTACCTGTTTCATTGTCTCACTGATATTTTTCAGATGGATTCTGTTCACCAGCTGATCAGGAATAGTACAGTTCAAGTCACCTGTCACTGGCTTCTCTGAAGTGAATCCATGCTGCAGATCTTTATGTTTGCTGCTGTTTGATTGCTTAGAGTTCAACTGATGATGGATCTGGCTTATCTTAATGGCGCAAAAAGACTGCAGAGCATCCAATTCTTCATCTGATACTTCAGTAATTTCTGTCAACAGTGCATCATCAAAACAAAAATCGCAATTACTATATCAGAGAGGAGAAGAATCTCAAGTCTTCTATTGTGACCTCTTATCATGTAGTTAAAAAAACCCTGCAACATCAGGTATGAAGGTATTTGCATTCATAATAGCAATGCAACATTTACATGTAAATCTGGTATAATCCATTTAGAAAAATGCAAAGTATAAACACCTCTATGATGCACCAGAAAGGAAACACAGTCCAAAAGGAAGGGGATAGGATAAAGATCACATGCAAAGAAAGTACTTGATGTAGAGCACACAAGACAAATGCAGATTTACTAAAGAGAAAAAGTAAATGTGGTAAATAAAACAATACAGAAGTTACCCTTAGTTTAGACACTTAATACATTATTGGAGACCATATGATTGCTTAATTTGGATTTAACCCCTTCTTAGCAGGAACTGCAATCTGCTAGAGCAAAATTCATTAACATTTGAAGTCAGAACTCCAGATCTGATAGCAAACCACACACACATTTAGTAGTTACAGTTCTATTAAAAGCTACTGCTGGAAAACACTTAAAATATATTATATAATCTACAGTTCATCTTCACACATTTTTTTTAAAGGACAATGTTATTTCATTAGCAAACATTTTCCTCCCAAGTTTCAATGCTCATCTAATAAATTCTTTATTTGGTTCTGTTTAAACATCATCTTTCACTCTCTCATTTCCTTCTTCCTTTCAGGTTGCATTTAATGATAAATAAAAAAGTGAGAAATTACAATTAAGATAGTAGCATAATAATGAATTTAAGGCCAGACCCAACACCCACTGAAGTCACATGAGTCATTCCATTGACTTCAATGGGCACTGGATCCAGCCCATAAAGAACAGATAAAATGAGTAACAAATTTCTTGTGGTTACTATTTGCATATTTCATTAGCAGCATTGCTTTGTTGAGTGATGGCTCCATGCAGCTTTCATCTGTTGCACTGTTTTTAAGTGTTTTATGGAGGATAAAGAGTATTTCTCTATATCCACATTCAACTTGCTTTTGCATGATTGCCAAAACCCAACTGCATGTGCTTAAATTCATATTATTCAGAAACATCAAGCTGTGCCCTGCCAAGTCTATGTGACAGTGTAATTGTACCACTGTAACAATTCCCTCCTATAGGCTGTTCCAGTCCTTTGTCGTATCTTGTCTAAAATTTGATCGTAAACTCTTCAGGGCAGACACCAGGTCTTCCTCAGAGACAAACACCAAGTTTCCAGAGTTACATCCTAGCACCTCGCACAGTAGTGCTCCAATTCTGTCTGGTGCCTTAGGGCATCCCCACAATACAAATATTAAAAAATAATAAGCTAGCGTACAAAATTCCTCTTAAATATGTTGTGATGAATTTAATGTGACGTCTACAAGATGTAGCTCTGGAATCTTGGAAGGAAACAGAACATCCTTTCAGAAATGCAGCCTATCTTTATAAAGAGTAAGCGATCTATATTTAAGATTAAGTGAAGTTGAAAACAGTAAGCCTTGCTTTATGGACGACAAGGAAAGCGAGTGAACTGTAACAGCCACAGTTCAGAATCAATTATAGCAAGGTAATTTATTCCTCCTTATGACTTGGTGTATCAATTCCACTAACAACAAAGCAAGACATGGTATTACCTCGTATCCCACTTACATGAATAAGTATGAGCCATACTTTAAAAGCAATACAACAAAATTGCCTTTTTCTTAGGTAAGATCACAGAGGTTTGACTGGAAAAGATAATCGCAGCCATCAAGTCCTTTCTCCTACAAGTGCAGCACATAGGCCATGTTACAAAGGTGGACTGATACACTGGAGAGGCATCGAGTTTTAATTACACTAATCAACTGTGCACATGTTCACATGTACTGCTCTCAGAATGGATAAAGCAAAAAAGAAAACTACCACTGCAAAAATTCAGTACTTGAGTTTTATTTATTTCACAGAGATACATATATACAACATACTGTGAGGAATCACAGGGCTCAAACCCAAGCCCACAGGCAGCCCTCAGGCCACGACTGCCACCCAGCAGCTCACCTGAGTAACTAGGGAAGGGTCCAGGGAAGGACTAACTCACAGAGGGCCCCGTCTCCAAATCTCCTGCTTGGGGGAAACATCCAGTCCCCCGACTGGCTAAGGAGTACTATATAAACCAGGAAGTAACAATAGGAAATTGTCTGCACAAGAAGAAATCTTTGGCTGGCTGTGATGTTGGACGCTTCCTGCTTACCTGTCTCCTGAGCCCTCCCTTCCTATCTGCTTCTGTTTCCTGCTTCTCTGCATGCTCCTGGTTCCAGTCCCCCATTCCAGACCCCCATCTACTCCCAGTTCCTTACTACTGCTGGCCCCTGCTCCTCTGCCTTACCCCGACGCTGTCTCTGGCTCTGACCCCTGGCTCGGCACCTGACTCCGACTCTGACCTTTGGCTTGGTACCTCACTCTGTCTTTGGTTTTGACTCTCTTCTCTGACCATTAGGCTTGACCCACACATGCCCCGGTCATTGAACATACTTTTTTTAACGCATGTTACTAAGGAACTGAATGTTTTTTTACAGAATTCCAAGTCAATAACTGATATTATGTGCAGACTTAAAAATTACAAATGAACACAGTCGAAAACAAAACAGTTGAAAACTCAGCTCTTCCTTTGATTATCTACCAAGACTCTGACAGTATCATAAGCACCAGAAACAGCATAAGGAATTGCAGCACTTTCAGCCACTTTTGGAATTAATTCTACCATCACCTGATGGAAGGAGAAACACAAAATCCTGAATGAAGTTTCTGAAAAGTAAAAAATTCTTCAGGTCACTTTTAAGCAACTTCTCCCTAAGTCTATGTATATATTCTTTAATTCTCAGACAAGCACAGAAATTATAGGAAGATAGGAAATACCAAGTCCGATCAGGTCCCCCTAATCTGGTGTTCTGTCTGCCAATATCAAATGATTAACAGGAAGCTGCAAGTTTAAGGTTGATTTTGAGCCATCATGCTTAAGGCTTAAGCCACTAGACCAAATTCTGGTCATGATCCTCAGAATTGCTGTAGGTGGTCAGCACCGCTCAGGCTCAAGCTCCCTAGAAGGGTTTTCTATTCCAAACCTAGTTCCTCTTAAAATCAAGTGAGAGGTAACTTCACAGAACCTCTGAGGATCAGAGCAGTAGAGGACTTTCTCAGGCAGGGCTTAGGGACAGAAACACAGCCCATACACTTCTGAACATTTATTCCCTGTCCTAGTAATAGCTGGTACATCATCTTTGCCAATATCTATTTACATACTAATCTGTGGGGTAAGGGGGAGTCTTCTTTTTTCTTTGTCTTTTTTTATGCGCATGTAAAATATATATTTTCATTATCATGTTAAGGCTGGGCAAAAAGATTCTGTGCATAGGCTGGTAAATACGCGCCACTTTGCAAGGCTGCCCTAAAAACTTTTATCTTCCTTTTAAAAGGAATTTTCTAGGTGGGAGGTTGTGCATAGAATCATTGTCAAGCAATGACTAAAATCATAGCCTGGCAAGTTAGGAGTTAACATAAAGCATGAATGTATATGGCTCATTTTAATTAAAATGGAATTACATGTATTCTGAAACAGTGCCTTCCATATGCCAGCTCTATCATAGCACTTTACCAAGTTATATATTAAATTTTAATAAAATAAAATATAGCCATTCAATCCACATCTCACCCCATTTTAAAACCAGCCTAACTTCATTAACTTAAATGGCATTACATCTGATTTGCATCAGCATATGTTAGTTCAGACTATGCAAACACATCAAATGCCATGAACCCAGCAAAAGCTCATGCTCACCATTGGCTTTTTAGAACCCTCTAGCAGCAAGATCCAATGGTTGGAAGTTGAAGCTAGACAAATATGGATGGAAATAAGGCATAAACTTTTAACAGTCAGGGTAATTAACCACTGGGACATTTACCAAGGGTTGTAGTGGATTCTCTATCACTGGCAATTTTTAAATCAAGACGATGTTTTTCTAGATGATAGGCTCTAATTCAAAAAGGAATTATTTTGAGGATATTCAATGGCCTGCGCTATGCAGGAGGTCAGACTAGAGATGATCACAATGGTCCCTTCTGGCCCTGGAAACTATTAATCTAGAAATAAGAATCAAATTTATTGTGAGAAAGAATGTTGGCAAGGGCGGTGAGATTGTCCCTTATTCCTTTAAATAAGCAATGGGATCTTCGACTCTCAGATGCACAACATATCATAAGTCACTGATTTAATGTCTCGGCAGACACAATCAATGTCAGACTATTTTTTTAAAATGAACAGTTGGAGAATCTTGGACTCAAATTTTACTGAAACAAGAGGCAGCTAATAAAAAGGAATGAGTTAAGTTACTACACACTGTAAATTTGTAAAAACTGGTATTCCATACCATTGTACATTATTATTAATCTCTAATCCTTTCAGACTCCTGCATATATGTACAGTATTTGCCTGTCTTTCACATGCTAAGAAACGGCATACACAGAGTGTTTGGTTTTAATACAGTTTTCTTCTCTGTCTTCTCTCTCTTCTTTCCATCTTTGGGCTAGACATGCTTGAATGCTCACTCTCCATTTGCAGTGGCAGACGTAAATGTCACTGTGTATCTCTCTACAGACAATCCCTGACAGTGCTGATTATTGTTCCAGAAACATGCTTCACTGATGCTTGGTTTCCCAGGACCCGGCATGTTGGGTCATCCCCAAGTCCTTATTTTCAGGGACTCGGAGAAGGGCATCAAAATAGAACTGTATTTTACATACTTCATAATATCATAAAACATTGAACATTAGGGAATTCAAGCACAACAAACTGAATCACCCAGCCGCTCTCATTATAATGGCATTGAACACACACCATGTAGATAAGTAAGTAGCTGTGTTTATATTTTAAACCCTGCTTTCCACATGGAATTCTCCCCCCCCACCCCAAAAAACAGTTTGAATGTTATATAAGTGAAAATAAA